CGTCATTGAATATTTATAGGAGATTGCACGTTTGGAGAGCAAGCAAAGAACGGATCGCCCCGTTCCCGGCCAGTGACAACAACAACAACACACGACAATAGTCGAGTTAAAAAAAAAAAAAAAACAGGAACGCGCCTAGGGTTTCTATTCTTCGCCGGTAGATCACGCAGACGGTGAACGATAGAGAAGGAGCAGCGAATATCATCGTGGTGTGCGTGTGTAAAAGTGAAGCAAGCCCCGATGGTCGAGGGCGAAAAGGAAACGACGGTGACGGAGCTGCTCGGTCGATAAGAAGAGCCCGTGTCGTACCAAGTGCCAACGAAGACCAGAGAGAAAGAAAGTAGCGTACTTCTTACCTCCTCGCGCCGGTATATTTTTGTTTTTCGTTCGCGGCACAGTGATCTTGTGTGTTTGTTCGCGGGGTGACGTGTGACGCGATTCTCGGGTAAAGGACATTCCCCGAATGTCGGTAAACGAAGAGAGAGCGCGTGATAGGACGATGCGATTGAGAACGCGTGCTCGGCCAGTGAGCGTCGGTCGAGGAAAGGAAACTATCCGTCTTCGTTGATTTTTCGTCGTATAATTCGACTCGACAAAGCGGGGCAAAGCAAGCGGGGCCACAGCAGCCGAAATCGGGACGAGTTGTTACACGAGTTTTTTTTTTTTTTTCGTTTGTTGTTTTTCTGCTGTTGCTGTGATTTCGAAATCAACGGTGAAAAAACGGGAGAGATAGGGGAAAGAAAATCCTCGCGAATTTCATCACGGATTGAAGGAGAAGTGCCTGGTGGTGGTGATTGATAGTGGTGCTTTGAGTTGGTTGATTGTCGTTCGATAGTGATATCCGCGATATTGCTTGTGCAGCAGGAGTGTGGTGAAAAATAAAAGAGAAGAACGAAAGGGGTGGTGCTGGTGGTGGTGGTGGTACATGGTGCAAAAAGAGAACACTCGACTGTGACTCTTAACTCATTACCACGGATCTCTCCCGGCAGTTTGACGCCACAGCCATCCTCGATGAGAGGAGGCACATGTCCATTGCTGCCGCTGAAAATGCAGGGTGAGTCTTCTCTTTTTTCCTCTCCCCCTCTCCTTTCTCATCTTTTCGTTTCTTCTACGTGTACGTGTGTGGTGCGTTTTTTTTTTCTTTTTTCCTCTTTTCGTTTCAATCTTACGTCGTTTGTCCACCAACGGACGGAGAAACTCGTTCTCGTTCAACGTCCATTTCATACGAGTGTCGTTTATTTATTTAGGCGATTCAAAGATCATCGTTACCTCGATATCGCCGCGCCGTGACGTGTCCGCACATGTTGCATACCTCA